TGAAAAAAACAAAGAAAGGAAATGTCCATAAGACATTCATTTAAGAGCCACAAATCTGCTTGTGAAAATAGCTACCTAGGGACGTGATTATTTTTATTTCCATCAGTGTAATAGTGTGAAACCAACAAGCTCATTTATTTTTTTAATTTGTGATAAATTAGCACTTGAAATTAACCAGGTTCTTCACATCAGAAGTTCTAAGTAGTAAATATTTTTGCAACTGTAAAAGAGATGTTTCTCCACTACAAAACTTCAAACCTTATTCTTACATAAGGATCAAAATGACTTTTAGAAACTTTTAAGGACAAAGCAGATGCTCCCTGGTTTGGATGACTTGGAAGAAAGCTAGAAATTGCTAGGGTCAAAGAGTCTCTCAGAGTTGGCAATGGAGAGAGGGTGACATTGTTCCATGGCCTCAAAGCTGGCCTTGGGCTCACGCTCATTAGTTTTATTTCCTGCCATGTTCCCATGAGCAAGTTTACTGTGGATCATTCTTCCTCCTTGGTCATGCTTTCTCCTTGGCCCCCAATCCCCAGTTTCTAGTTTTCAGTATTGGTCTGGTGCCTGGAAACTGAGCTTGGATGGAACCTCACTGAGACCCTTCTCGGGACCTAAATTATTCTTTTAGTTGTTGGCATTGGGCTGTTTCCTTTATTGTGCTGAATAATGTAGCCATCAGCATTGTACTAATATTGTCACCCATGCCAGGATCCTGCGGGTCCGTGGGGTTTTCTGGTCAGGCCCTGCTCCAGGAATAGCATCCACTACAGGCCTGGGTGGGAGTGCCTCGGTTCTGCCAGGTATCCACAGAGGGCTTCCTTAAACATAATTGATTCAAATAAACCCTGAAGAATGTGGAAGGATGGGGTCAAAGGATGCTAATTTCTTTCTACAGCACTAGGATAACATGAATTCTAATAAAAAGGAATGGATACGGTCTGTTGGATGTCATAAAGAACACAATCTTTCTCTTAAGCAAAAGGATGAAAGGCAGACACACACAAACACACACACACACACACACACACCCCCCACCCACCATGAGTGCCCTATCTCCAGTAAACTCTCCAGTACATTCAGAGATTCAACTGCTTTTTTTCTTCCCTTGCTCCAGGGTAAACTTCAACTCCAGAGCTCACCTAGATGCAACTTGGATGGCAAGTGCCGCCCTAGAAACAGACTGGATGCTCCTGGAACGTGGGCTGTGATGTGTTCTGTGCCACATTCCCAAGCCTTCTTTCTGGCTGGCATTGATAAAAGCCCTTTTCAAGGCCTACCCTTTTTCTTTGGGCCTGGAAGTAAGAATGTTTATAGACATCCTGGTGAGAGAAGGCTGTTTGATGAATGCAGGAGACTGCGGCTAGGTGTCAGCGCTTGGAAAATGAGGCAAGGACATGAGGCATTAATATTGTCAATGATCTCTTGACAGGAAAACAGATACCACATTCACTGTCAGATTTAAATAGACATCAAGTGCATTAATGACAAAAGGGCAGACTTCAAACAAAGGGGCTGTGTGGTGAAGAGCGGAGCTAGTCTCTGTGCTGGCAACAGCCTGATCTGAAAAGACACCGTCAGGGTTGTAGACAGGCCCAGGATTGTGTGCGGTGACAGAAAACAGAGATGCTGACAGAGATACCAGCGCCATATTATGCCAAGGATATTCTAACGCTGTCTGCCGCTCTAACGAAAGCTGACATCACTCCCCATCACTCGGGGTCTTCTCTGCCTGCCCCTGCAGAACATCTCTCCCCAGACATCATTACAAAACTCACTGCGGCTGCGAAGGTCCTGGCAGTTCTGTTCTGCTGGAGCGGTGGGGACAAGGGGCCTAAGGATAACCTCAGTCAATCTAAATTTGGAATTTGCAGGAGGAGCACGCCCGACCCCACTGATATCTTGGCTACTTGAGATGATCAGAAGGCCATTGTGTGAGGAGCTGTCACCTTGAATAAACTCCCGGAACGGACGGCACTCAGTCTGTGGGCTGCTCCAGGAAGGCGTGGGGATGGCCTGGCAGTTGAAAATGAGATCCAGCTGCCGGGACTCGCCTGGGCAGAAAGGTGCTCTGGCTAGTGATGGTAAGAATCGGCTGAAATTGTCAAACTCAAACCATCTCCGGTGGCTGAAATTAAGCGAGCATTGCCTCTGTGCGTCTCCTCCCAGATCTCAGAGTCGGGATGTGATTACCCCCAATATGTGACTTTTGTGTTCAAAAATAAATAAATAAAATTAGCCAGGAAAAGCAAACATGCACAGAACAGCACAGTCCCATGTGTGGCCACAGGCCTTTATTTATCATGAAGGTTATTTGTAAAATATGAGGCTCTGCTGGTAAACTAAGTGAGGTGGCATTGCGTTTCTCTCTCCCTCGTCCGCCCCACGGCCCTTCTTCTCCCGCCATGGCAACTGCCATAAACTGTGAAAATTACAGAGGGAACAGTTTGCTTGCAAAGAACATTTTGATGGGGAGGCACTCTGAGGCTGGAATTTGGGAACCCGCTGGTTTGTGACTCAAGTAGGCAATGGTTTCTCTGAACATCTGCAACGTATTCATTTGTTTGTATCTCCTCAAACTACAACGTCTTGGGACTGGAGGGGGAACAACGCATTTAATGGCATATGCAGTGTTTTTAATTAAAAGATCTGGCTTTGGCCATATTAAGTAAAGCAGGCTTGCCCTGTGTCAGGCTGACGTGCAGCTGTCTGTGTGGGGTTTCTTTTCCAGAGACCCTGAAAAATGACAGGGCACTGTCCCCCGGGGGATTCTTTTCCTGCCAAATGAGACTCCTAATTTTTCTTAAGTAGCCAGCTTTCCCATCACCATAAGCTGTTAAAGCTATAATTATGAAAAAAATTTATCAGGAAGAATCTGTTTTAAAGAGGCCCTTTATCTTTTCCATGTTTTCCCCCTCCAGAATGGATGTCCTAATTATGCAGATTAAGTTATAACCTTGGGGCTGCCTGAGTGGGTGGGACTCAGCCTCCTTTCTTGGATGTAAGGCTGGGACTGCAGGGTCAGTAGCAGCGATTTTGCCGGGGGAGGCCCTGAGAGTCCAGTCCAGGGAAGGGAATTCTTGCACATCCTTTCATTTCTTCCAGCATCCTGGACTCCCTGATTCCTGGACGGCCTCACAATACCAGCTGCAGTTCAATAGTCTATTTAGTAAGGCGAAGTGGGGAAAGACCCGCATTTAGATCCAGCCCTGCCCTAATAGTCATGTGACCATGTACATGTCCCTTTCTCTCCCTGGGCTGGTTTCCCCATTTGTAAAACAAGGGCAAGGGGCCAGATAATCTGAGAGGTTCATTTTAGCTCTGAAATAGGTGATTTGGCATTTTCCAATGTTTTCCTTATGAAGATGAGAACACCAGGTCCAATACTGCCTGATGCAGGAGACAAATTCAACAGGTTAGTCAATAAAAAAATTGATTTAGACTAAGTCAGCCCTTGAAACCCATCCAGCCTGTATCCCTAAAGCATAACCTGGATAGAAGGGGGCCTCTAGAGGACCCCAAAATCCCCGACGAAAGGGTTTTCATTAACTTTCCTGCAACCTGTATTTCATACTCACAGCTAGAAGTGCTGACCACTAACTAGGCTGTGTCCCACTGGCTTTGGCATAAGCCCAAGACTCGTAACTCCATATTCAACAGAACTAAAGCCTAGCCATCAAAGCAAGTGGTCTGTCATTAATATTTTAGTGGTGAAAAAAAAAGAATCTGCATGTAAATTACAAAAATGC